AATATGCTGTTATACTACATACTAGCATGTAGCACGTTATAAGCCAGCACATGGGAAGACAGGTAGCTCCAACTATTTCACTAACAAATCTACTGCACAGTAACACAAATGGTCATAATATTGCTAAGCAAACTCTAATATATACAAAGGCAAATTAATTCACATTAAACTTACAAATCATGCCTTGTCAAGGGCAGAATAGCTACTGTGCGCAGAGACAAAGCACATAGGTCTTTCCACTGCAAGTGCTTGTACAAAAGGGCTACTCTGTTTTCCTATTCACTGTTGCTTGCTACTTTTCTGCAATGTGACCACAAAATGGTGATGTTCATCAAAAGAACAATAATAAAGTTACTGCCTTTTAATCCAATGACTTCTTTTACAGAATAAATTACTTTTTATTACCATACCCTTAATGCAGAAAACTGCATTAATGGGCAGAACAGTGTGCACATGTGCATTAACTTGAGCAACCCTCAAACATTTAGAAACTTAATTTAAGAGATAATTGTTTTTAAATTGTATCGCTTATTCTACATTTGAAATTGAATCCTAAGCTTGGCCAACAGTTTTGTAGAATTTGATGTTTTCTAATTCAAAGAGTATACCTTAGAGGCATTTCAAAGATAGTGTCAAAGTCATTAAGTTTAGCCACTCTACCATACAGACCTGATGAGTTCTGATGGAGTGCTCCTAAAATGTTCTCTCCCCTCTCCACAGAGTACCGCTGGAGATGTTTCAGAGTGACCATCAGGTTCCAAGGCCCTCTTCCTGAGTCACTCAGTTTGGGTAGCAGGCTTACTCTACACGAGAAGAGTCTAGGTGGTTCCAAACTTCTTCCATTTATTAAAACAGGAGGCTAATGTGCTCAATGCTACACACATTTGCTTTACCCTAGATCTGGACTTCATTACAGTCTTGCCTCAGAAGTTTACAAACAATTGCTTGGACTTTATGGCTTGGTTTTTGCTCTCTCAGAGACATGCATTATGGGAATTTACATATACAAGTGTGTGACTTTCCAAATCACATCCAGTTAACTAAATTTAACCACAGAACTCCAGTAAGGATTTAAACACACCTCAAGAATGATCAGTAAAAGCTACTGTAGATATTATTGAAACATTTTGAATAATCTTTGACAACTGCTTGTAATATATTGAGCAACCCATCACTGCACATCACACAAATTAACATCATCTTTAAGCTAAGCACATCAACTACTGATCTAAACTCAATACTTCAGACTTATATGGCCTTAAGAAACAAGCTTGTGTTCTGCAATGGCACATTATGGTGCTGCTCCAAAGAGGCATACAAAATCTTAACCTGAGCTTTGCATTGACTTTTCCCAGTGGTGGAATAACTTGTCTAATTCAGTTTGTGCAACATTTTTAGGAAACTGATAAATATTTTTTCAGCAGCAATTGTTATTTCTAACAACTTCTATTAAAACATTTTACAATTTATTAAAAAGCTGTGTGAGAAAAAGCCCAGCCACTGTGTGAGATTAATTACACATTGTTCACAAATGTAGAAGTAAAGCATCAGTAAGTCAAACATAAGTTGTTTTAATTTGGTGTATCAGATTAACTTCAGATTTGTTCGTTCGATTTCTTGTCCGCTTAGTTACTTTATTAATCTGGGGTCGCCACAGGGGAGTGAACTGCCAACTTATGCAGCAAGTTTTTACACAGTGGATGCCATTCCAGCTGCAACCCATCTCTGGGAAACATTCACACACACACACACACACACTTATACACTATGGACAATTTAGCCTACCCAATTCACCTGTACCGCATGTGTTTGGACTGTGGGTTAAACCGGAGCACCTGGAGGAAACCCACGCGAACACAGGGAGAACATGCAAACTCCACACAGAAACGCCAACTGAGCCGAGGCTTGACCCAGCGACCTTTTTGCTGTGAGGCGACAGCACAACCTACTGCGCCACTGCTTTGCCCCTAACTTCAGATTACATTTATGAATTTGGTAGACACTTTAATAAAGCTGAAAGTACATTTTAGCGGTTTTAGCATTGTAATGATCCCTTACAAATATCGCGTTGCCAATTCTCCTATGCTGTTCATCTGGACTTAAAAAAAAACATTTATTAAGCTAGTTTAGACAATTGTTTTTTTTTTTTTTGCTGAACACTCAGCTATTCAAGCTGTTGGTGCAACTATAAACCAGTCTGGGCTAGCTACAGCTGTTTTTCTGGGAAGGCAGTGTCTTGATAATGATGATGTGCTTGAATGAACTCTTGGAAATGGCAGGATTAGCTTATGAGGTGGAGGATCAAGGTTGTTTTTGTTCGGATGGGAGTGTGTGGGAGACTCCTGAAAATGGTAGGTACATTCAAACATGCAAGGACAGCTCCTGACATGTTGCCGCTGGCATGTATCTGGTATTCTGTATGTTGATAATAATGGGGGCATTTATGAATGTTTTAGCAGTGAACATGTGTCATCTTGCATCCATTTAAACAGGAACTGGCAATCAGTCAAGGTTGAGTGCAGTTTCTGTAAACATTATTCAGCATTTTCTTTAGTGGCTTGAAATGCTAGTGAGTGTCCACTAGGTGGTATGTGTGGTGCAAAAATGTACTGTAGTAAAAGAACTGTAGTGTATTGGATTTGGGTGAGCATCAAGTGAAAATCCAGACTAAAAGATTTCCACATCATTCGGACATACAAAATAAACTAGGCTTAAATGAATCTTTGACTTTAAGGTGCATCTCAGTTGTTAATCTGTCAGATGGGGGTATTTTCCTTAAATATATTAGAAAATCTACTTAACTGGCAGCCGAACCTTCCGGTTCAAAGAAGTGATAATAAACTTTTTAAAAGTAAAAAATCTCAGAGAGCAGGTTCTCTAGAACCTGAAGGGAGAAACTGGCCTTCCAAATCTGATCTGTAGCATATTTCATCTTTACTATGTCACTCACCCATTAAAGTCTCAAAAAAGACTGGTCATTTAGGAAAGGTAAATGCATAAGAGGTCAAAATCTCAGTAGTCAATCAGTTCAACACTGCATTTGGAATTGCTCATCAGTTCAGTTGACAGGATAAGGATCTGTCTCAGCATATATACCGTTAACACTTTCTGTAAATTACACAGAATTTAACTTTAAATTGAACTGTATTTTACTGTAGAACTGTTGTACAGTGTAGTACTGTATTTTAAAGTTGCATTGTGGGAAATATCCCATTGGCACCATTAAAATAGAGATGACACCGTTTAAGGCAGTACACAAAACTTGAGCCAAATGTAAAATGTAGTATTTGGCCTAGATGGTAAAAATTGATATGTGGGCCATGTAAGTTTGGCCTATCTTAAACCACATTTAAAATACATTTTTATTATTTTCAAAAAAAAAAAAAAATTCTACCAATCAGGTCACATTGAGAAAAAGCACGCCCATAGCACATCTAAAGTGCAGTGATTCATGTGTTTACCAATTTCATTGTAATCGTGACACACCAACATATTTGGCCCAGTTCAGGCTCAGTTATAGGTTATTAACTTGGCTGAGACTTTGGCCCAGATATGGTCCACCCTTTTCTGAATGCTACACTTGGTCCAGTCATGTACCCTAATTCACTGCAGCATGTGGGCAAAAGCAAAAGCTGATTGTGTTGGCCAGAGCTGGGCCAGAGATTGGACTGTCTCTCCACTCCACCAATAGCTAGTGTGTGGTGAGCGCACTGGCGCCGTTGTCCTGTGGCTGCCATCGCATCATCCAAGTGGATGCTGCACACTGGTGGTGGTGTGGAGAGACCCCCCTCATGATTGTAAAGCGCTTTGGGTGTATGGCCATACACGATAAATGCGCTTTATAAATACACATTACATTACAAAATACACATTACAGAGATATTTTGCTATGTGGGTAGCTTTACTTCTGTCCCATGGCTCTCGGCTCCACCCAAACATCAATAGAACCAAGCTGACCAATCACTAATCTTGCACTCTAGCATCACCACTAGTGTGTATTACCGTTGTTCGAGAAGTGCATGTCAGGACCAGGGTACAGTGCAAAGGCTACACTGGAACTACAATGTTTAGAAGGATAAATTGGCCTCTTAACTTTTGCTGAGGACCATGTTGTGTGAACAGAGAACAGGTCCAAATGTCACTTAAAAAGTAAAGCAAGTGTATAATATTTGGGTGCCATGGGAAACATTTTTTTTTTATCTCAAACTTAGCTCTGCCTGATAGACTGAACCCATAGTGTGAAAAAAATCAGTCAAAATTGAAAAAGTGTAATGGTTTGAAAGGTTTTCTTTCAGCATTAGCAGCAGCAGGAATTTGGAATATTATACATCTACATGGCAATAGTGAACAGTTTATCTTTTTAGGGATGTGACTAGTGATGTTATGTGAAAGACTAGAGATGTCATGTGAGAAATTAATGATGTCTTAATCATAAGACTGCCTTTATTTTAGAGTACCAAAGTCTAGAAGGGCAGTATGAATTGTAGAATCCACAGATGCAGAACCACTGTGGGTCAGTCATCCTTTTCAGTGAAAGGTTCACGTCTATGGAATGCCTCGCCTGTTACAGGCATTTATCAGAAATCCCAGTTTTTTTTTCTGTAAAGCTGAAAGAATGGTTAAAATATTTACAGCAATGTGAACATTAAATATTATTATATCAGGTTGGGCAGGTTTACATTTCTCTTTAGTGTGCACATTGACTTACTTTTATGTTTGTGGCTCTGTATATACTGTACGTGTTTGTTTTTATTTGTATTGCTTTTATTTGTTGATTTTTTTATGTAAAACCAAAGGGCTACAAATTAGCTTCATGATAAATGCCCTATGTACGCGGTTTCGGTTGTCTTTGTATAACAATGTCAAGTGTATTGTCCTAGTTAAATATACAAACAGATAAATAAAGCTAAAATGGAACTGTAAACCTCTTTATTTACTTTGCAATTGTAAGATTTGACTCATCCCTCTAACCAGCAAAAAAAAAAAACAATTGACACTCATTTCCTTTGACAAAATATTTATTTCTAATATTTTTAAATTCAAAGTAATGCTTCAGAAATCATTTTGCTGGATTGTTGTGTTTGTCATAGCTGTGAATAAATACTTCCATCAGGACATTGTCAGCTGGAGATAGTAATAGTAATATTCTATGTACCACATAGAAACCTACTTTCTTGATGAACTTTATCTAAGATCTAATTACAATAGCAGCAGTTTTCAAAAGTCTGTTGGTAGCATTTAATTTCTCTTGGTGTAAGATTCGTACAGAGAAGCGAGCTGGTCCTTCAGGTTCTGTGCATAGGGGTCCAGCTTCTCTTTAAGGTCTTCAGCGTAGGGTGTAAGACTCTGCTGGACCATCTGGGCTCTCTCTCTAATCTGGACCTGCAGATCCTCGGTCAGGGGAGTCACGGTCTTCTGGAACTCCTGCAGATGCTGGTCTACTTTCTCCTTGAGTTCAGCAGTGTAGGGCTCCAGCTGAACCTGCAGCTCCTTCACGCTCTGCTCCAGGTTTCCTCTCAGCTCCTCGCTCTTCTGGAGAAGAGTGGCCTTCAGGGTTTCAGAATCCAGGGAGTCAGCATATGGAGCCATGGCCGCCCTGAGCTCCTCCACTCTCTGCTGGATCTGGCTCTTCATGTTGTCAGCATAGGGCTCGAGTTTCTCTCTCACGTTGATCAGGTCCTGGCCCAGACGCTCCCTCAGCACTTCAGTCTCCTTGGTGATTTTGTTCATCAGCTCTTCAGTCAGAGGATCCACCTGTTTCTTGAGGACAACGGCGTATTCACTGGCCATATCAGCACTCTGGGTCAGTCTTTCACTGTGAGGTGGAGAAGAACATTTGAGTTTCATTCAGAAATACTCTAAATAATGATGTCCAGCAGGTAAATGTTCTTGACTTACTTGACTTCTTGACCCAGTTGAGACTCTCTGATCATCTTGACGGTTTCCTCTGCGGTTTGTGTTGCTTTAGAAACATAGCTCCAGAATGCATCTGTCAGCTGCTCCAGCTGAGGTTTGGGCTCATCAGCATAGAAAAGATTGGCCTGGCAGCCTGTTAATGGAACACTTTCCATTAATCAAATGGCATTGTTAATTCAGAAACATGTTTTAACTGAAACCTTTTTTAAAAGAATGATTTTTTTAAATATCAGTATACCTGTAAATACAGCAAGTGCAAAGACCACAAGAACCTTCATGATGTTGACTGAAGCCGCTAGTCTGTAAATAAAAGACTTTTATTCATTTTAAATAAACGTCAATTTATCTGATTTTCTGATTAATAGTCTGTCCTCTTACCTGTGCTGCTTAGCTTTAATTGACGCTGTCCTGTTGAGGAACAAGTGTGAAGGTGAGTAGTTCCAATCTATATTTATATAGCACGGGGAGGTGACTGCTGTAGTGGAAACCCAAAGTCCAGTAGGTAGTGCCGTGCTGTCACTAATCCACATCATAACGCCCTGAACTGCAGCTATTATCACCAAAGATTCCTGAATTCAATACAGATCTCTTTACTACAGTAAACTGCACTAGTAAATGCTAAATAGATTTTTTTAGATGAACAATGACAATTCAATAGAATCTACAAGTAAAAGAGTTAATAGAGATATAACCTTTCAGGCTTTTGGGTTTTAAAAAGTCTAAAAGACATCCAAGCATAGTATCGTAGCTAAAACAAGACTGTAAAAATACCCTGTCAGTAAAGATTTAATATATATTCAACAATTAGTTTTTCCAGTATATTCAGTGTTTAGTCATTCATTCTTTTTTATTTTATTTGATGACTACTTTATTTTTGGACTGTTCAAAGATTTCTGTTTTTCACTCACAACTCAAATTTAGCCTTGTCTTAACCACAGTGTCTGACTATGACGTTAGACGTCTTTTTAAAAACAAATTTGCTTGATTGGAGGAAATTATGTGTCTTTTTTTTTGAGTGTTTCTAAAGATAGTATGACTATCTAATTGTGTGTGTGTGTGTGTGTGTGTGTGTGTGTGTGTGTGTGTGTGTGTGTGTGTGTGTGTGTGTGTGTGTGTGTGTGTGTGTGTGTGTGTGTGTGTGTGTGTTAAATAGTTACAAGCTATCCAAGTATAGACAATTTCATTTGAAGTTAAAAATATGTCATGGAAGCATCCATTTACGTAACAACAATCAGAGGTACTCATAATCCATAAAACCAGACAGAAGCTGATTTTGAACCTTTGAACTAATAACAGTAACAAATGATACCAGACTTTGTTCGCCTCCTGATAAGATTTGCCACATCACACAAAGAGATGTGTTTCTGATTCTGGATAAATCTATGAACTTTAAGATGGTTAATATATATTCTGTTGTTATGCTTAAATGATTGCAGTAGGTCAGCTTATTTTAAATATCCTGTCCAGGGTTAATAATAACAATTGAACCCAATTGATTCCTAGGAGGAGGAATGATCACAGTAAGAGATCATTAATGTAACACTGTCCAGGTTACGTATGCCTGTTAAACACATAGAGATAAGGGCATTTGTTTGATCCAGAATCACTGCTTCTAAAGAATGTCTTACCTTCATAACTTACAGAGTACATTGGAGGCAAAAGGCAGCACGTAGTGATAATCGTTGAGTTTCATAATTTTTAAATAATTTTCTCTTGGTCTGGTTGGAGCGGTTTTTTCTTATTCATTTATTCATTTTCTTTTTGGCTTAGTCCCTTTATAAATCTGGGGTCGACACAGCGGAATGGACCACCAACTTAACCAGCATATGTATTACTCAGCGGAAGCCCTTCTGGGAAACCTCCATGCACACTTATTCACACTCACACACTATGGACAATTTATTTTATTTAATTCAGCTGTACCACATGTCTTTGGACTGTGGGGGAAACCCACACGGTAAGAACATGCAAACTCCACACAAATGCCAACTGACCCAGCCGAGGCTCGAACCAGAGCTGTGCTGTGACGCAAACATGCTACCCACTGCGCCACCGACCTTACAGCCTTTTTTTTTTCCTAGCTTAGCACTAAGCATTGAATCGGATTAGACCATTAGCCAAAATTTACTATATTAATGCTTGACTCTTCTGTAGCAGGCTTTGGTGCGGTACCATGGCTTCAGCCAGCTCAATGATATTATGCATCGCTGTTACCTTGTGACCTAATTTTGCGTACTTCTTTTTATTGCACCTGGTGCAGCCATGTAATGGCAACAATGTCCTTGATTATTATGCCAGAATGAGAGTATAGTTCCAAACCATATTGACCTAAAATTAGCAACTTTTAATTTTCTGTTGGCTTTAGTACACAATGTAACTGCAGAACATTCATTCATTTTCTTTTCAGCTTAGTCCCTTCTTTAATCTGGGGTCGACACAGCGGAATGTTGGCGACTTATCCAGCATATGTTTTATGCAGCGGATGTCCTTCCAGCTGCAACCCATCTCTGGGAAACATCCATATACACACTCATTCACTCTAATACACTACAGACAATTTAGCCTACCCAATTCACCTATAGCGCATGCCTTCGGACTGTGGGGGAAACCTGAGCACCTGGAGTAAACCCACGCGAACATGAAAAGAACATGCAAACTCCACACATGCCAACTGACCCAGCCGAAGTGTGAACCAGCGACCATCTTGCTGTGAGGCACAGCACTACCTACTGCGCCACCACGTTGCCAACTGCAGAACAGTGATCCTTAATAATAGCACAATTATTGAATAATTTTTTTTTTTTTTTCCATTTTGGAGTGGGACGCTAATGGTTCAATCTGATACAATGACTATTAAAATAAGACTAATATGACTAAAATATGACTAATAAAAATGCTCCAATTAGACCCAGAGATCAGCTGAATTGATTAAAAAACTTGTGAAATCTTGAGTATTCCTTCAAGTTAGATTTTTTTCTTAAGTTGTAATGAATCATTTCTTCTTGGGCTAAATGAAAGTACAATCTAGAATCTAGAAATTGTGTTTGTTGAGTAAAGGTGGAAGCACACTGTACAATATACAGTATAGTAGGTCTTTAAAATTGTTTCTTATCAGACTGTTAGACCAGCTACTGTGTAAGCCCTGTCACACTTTGGGATCACAGTTCTTATTATTGTCAGACTGTACATTCAACTCCTTTAAACCAGACATACTGTAGAGACGAAGTCTAAAGTTCAACATCATAAACCCTCTGAATGCCCTGCAAAATATGGAATATGCCTAGTCAAATGAGCCAATTGAATAAACTCCAGCATGCAAACTTTTGAACAGTGATTTCCCTTTTAAAACGTAATCTGAACTGTCGGTTTCATATTTTGTCTGGTCTTCTGTTAATCTCAGAACATGGTAGATCAGGATCTAGATTTAAAGTATTAAATAAAAGTACAAACTAAACTCTAAAACAGAACAGAATACTGATTATAATAAATTGTATATGAAGAGTTCAGATGCAAAAAAAAAAAAAACTGACACAATGCTATCTGAAATGTTATTCTAAAATTAGCATTTTTATTAGACTCTTGTGTGTAACCAGCTTGCAAAATTCATGTGGCTCAAATCCGGCCCACACCACTTACATCCGGCCCACATAGCACCTGGAAGGACGACACTTTGCGATCAGCTCCTGTTTGCTATGGCCACAATTAAGACATAGCAGTAGCACATATCAGCCAGTATTCAACCAAATGAACTAGAACTGACCCTATTTAGGGCCACAGTTTGCTTTTATTCTCGCCCAGATCTGGCCTACACCGTACACTTGCTGGGTGTGGCAAAGTACAAAAATCCCAGCATGCATTGCAGTATGAATACATTCTGTAGCTTATTGATGCAACAGTTTTCATTATTTGCTTTTGATTCTCAGTGGTGTACAGTAACTAATTACAAATACTCAACTTACTGTAATTGAGTAGTTTTTCTCAGAAATTGTAATTTACTAAGTAGTCTTAAAAATTTATACTTTTCCTTGAGTACATTTTTAGTACATCTGTACTTTTACTCTCACTACTTTCCTATAACCTGCAGTCACTACTTTATTTTTTCTTGTTTATGGGATTTAGAAAAATCAGTCCTGTAATTCCAGTCCAGTCAAATCACACATAGAAGGTAAATTGCATTATAATGAACTACTTTAAGACATGTGCACTTTACATTGCAGCAAACTGTTTGGAAGAATTAAGTGTCCAAGAAGGTGTTCAAAATCATTTCACGCATTGACCCAGAGACTATTTAGATCAGGGATGCCCAAACCCAGGCTGTTTCTCAATTTCAAGAACACAAAGAATGGACTTGGGTTCTTGTGGAGATCGGTCTTGCCAGGTGTCCTTGGAATAACGAGACCACGAGGGCAGAGAACGCGTCCTTTGAGAAATTAGATGCTGCCTTCTTCCTGATGGTCACGTGACCTTCACACGTTTTAAATGGTAAATTATTTAAACATTACAGCATTCATACAACGATTTATTGTTTTCCCCCTTTTTAAAATATATACTTTGCATAAAAACATTATCAATATACTCTGCACAATATAAATAAAACAGATTTTAATACGAAATTCAGCAAACAAACACCTTAATGTGTTTATTCCTTTGTCCATGGAAATGTTTACTTTTACTGTTTCATTTAGGGAAACTCCTGAGGTAAATAAGTTAAACCTCTGAACTTATAAATCTAGATAAAATGATGGCTTCCCACCTCCAGTCGCAATGACTTCTGGGACTTCCAGAGCGAGCTCGGTGCTCGGTGCTCAAGTCTTCGGTGTGTCCTTGATATAAAGATGATGATGTTACACAAGGACACAAGACCGCTGAAGAATGCATATTGGGAAACAGCCACAGTCCTGAAGGGCCGATGTCCTGCAGATTTTAGCTCCAACTTGCCTCAACACACCTGCACGGATATTTCTAGAAAGCCTAGCATGAGATTGATTAGCTAGCCCAGGTGCATCTAATTGGGATTGGAACTAAACTTTGCAGGACACTGGCCCTCCAGGACCGAGTATGGGCCAACCTAAAACCAACCAAATATCAACGTCTAATGATGTTACAGCTTGACATTGTATCAACGTTACCACTATGACATCTATCAGATGTGAATTTTGGTTGCCATAAGTGATGAATAAATGTCAGTATTTGATGTCAATATGGCATTGGTTTAAGATGTTGGCTTGACATTGGATTTCGTTCACTTTCTAACAACCTAAAATCAACCAAATATCAACGTCATTTGATGTCATTATTGGACATCAAAATAATGTCCTTAGACGCTGACATTGAATTTTGGTCACTTGACATCACAACCTAAATCTAACCTAATATTAACGTCTAGTGACATTGTGTGCCTGCTGGGCAATAACTAAATGCACTACAGAATGTTACGTTTACAATGTAAATGTACATGTAAATGCATCAACTTTTAACAGCATAATACTCACTACTCATGAGTACTTTTAAAAGGGCTACTTTATACTTCTACTTTGAGTAATAT